CATGCACGTGACGTGTATGGTGGCTCCAATTGGACCATAAGCTTATGAATTATTAATGAGTGTTTTAATATTATTTATTTGATCCATCCATCCCTTCCCTCCCTCCCTCACTCACTCCAGAACAGAGCATTATCCAAGTTAAATGCTAGGGTAATAATATCATATTGATGTAACAACATTATGCAGATTGCAAATGGCAGTTCAATAACCCCTTCCACATCCCATGCACTATTAGTGGCATAGTAAATGGCCAGCCAAAACAACTAGAGTATCTTATTTCAAGTTACTGTGTTATGCAATCCATTATTCATTTTAAAATAACCTACAAGTTTCTTGCATGCTTATTGGTTATTTTTTATCATCGATAAGAGGACAGACAGATAAAGCTAATGTCAACAAGTGTACACTCTTTCTGTTGGTTGTTTTGATCACTAAAAATGAGAAGTTTTTATTTTTATTTTTTTGTTATTGTAAAAACAGCTACACCTTGTGGATCCACACTACTTTGACAATGCAATAACGCAATTTATCGTCAATGTATAGGAAGACAGACAAATGAAAAACTGATCTCAATTTGCTTAATGCACATTTATTTATGTACCATAAGCAGAAATGGAGGTCAGAAAGGTATCTTGGTAGGCAAAGTATCTGCATATCGTCATATCTAATATGTGTTAATTATTAGTTTTTAGTAATTTTGATTTAGTTAATGCATTGTAAAGTGCTTTTGGGCTTTATGAGAAAATACTATTTATAAAGTAAGATTTTATGCTCATGACCAGGCAATTAAACAGAGGGGGAGGGGGGAAAGTTATTATATTCCCACAGGAATCCCATACTTAACATACTTATTGACTGGGACCAAAGGAAACTGCGTGTTTTTTCGGTCATGAGACGGTGATGTTTCCTGAGGCGAAGCTGACAAAACACACACTGCTTTCCTGAGCAGTTATTTTATTATTATTTTATCCCCAAAACGTAGGAAAACTTGCACAGGGTCAATAACATATTGTTGTCTGCTGAGAGCCGTTGTCAGGGAAGCATCCAAACTTGTTCATGTTCACGTGATACYCTCTTGCCCAATCAGAGTATGAGAAAAATGGATTTGGCAGTTGGTATATCACAAAAGTATTTGTGAACTTCATGTTATTTCAATGAAACTATTTTTACTCGTAATATAAACTGTTGTTTGTGTCGTTCTTGGCTTAAAATAGTAGCGATTACAAGCTTTTTGATTAATTTAAAAAGCCACTTCTCCCTACGACCCAAGGAAGTCAAGCAACACTTTATGTGATTTGTGCAAGCATTTGATTGGGGAGGGAAGATTTGTTTGTAAAATATTATGTGGGGACGACAATTATTCCACAGCAAGGAAGGGTTTATTATATGCATTTACAAACTAAATGAAAATTCCCCTCCCCTCCCCCCTTTCATCTAAATAATTAAAATTTACAAGAACTGTCTATTATTAATACCCAGAAATAATAATCCTACACCCTTACAATTATTAAAGCAGCAAAAAAAGGTGAAATAGATAACTAAGTAATCATTTTACCTGTGTTAAGTTAAGTTAAAAGGTTCTCTTACCGTAGAAAGAGCGATATTTTCTGCAAACCTTTCCAAACACGAACTTCCGCCATCTTGTTTTGACTGGAAATGTGTAAGAACACAGGAAGCCCAATTTAGTTAAAAATACCAGATGGAAAAAAGTCGATAATAAATATCCTTCATTGAAAATAATGAGATTGAAGTTAAGAAGATGTGCTAAACATATTAATAAATCAACCAAGAACACGGTGCAACACTTTATTTATCCTTCGCCTTTGTTTTCCTGTATAATTCCTCTGGAATGAGATGGACTTGGGAATGAACGGAGTGAAACACAGAGTAAAACCTTAAATCTTGGGCTTGAATGGGAATAATGGACCCTTAGACACCGAGTGTAAGGTAATGCTTGTGTAAAAATCATGCAAAGAAAAGCTGTGTAATAATACAATCATGTCCACATTGTATGCTATCTGCCTCAGATTGGTGTCACATTTCAAGCACTCTCCTCCTTCAGATTCTTGTCAACCCAAAACATTTACAAGCACTCCCCATACAGAGCTCTTCTGTGAGGTTCCCACCACATGCACTACCACTGCATTCTATATTTACAACACTCAACTCACATGTTGATTTTTACAAAGGGAGGAAAACCAGAGAACCTGAAGAAAGACCCTCGCAGCACAGAAGAGGACAACGCAGCAAACAAACTCAACTCACGTATGATCCAATCTGAGCCAGAGCTCGATCAGGCCACAGCAGTGAGAGGCGAGTGTTAATAACCCATTTATTTAGAATAGCTTATAATTGTCTAAGGGTCAATTTTTATCTTTTTCTTATCAGTGGTAATATAATGTAACTATAGAATCTTACTTACTGTAATATTTTTATTTCTGATTTTGCTTTGTCGAGAAAATATGTGAGTTTGTAAATAAGTAGTTTATTTTAGATATTATTAGTATTTAAGCACTTAGGGCAAAGAGTGAAATTAGTGATATAGAAATAAAGGTATATTTATTGTTTGTTATTAAACCACTTTGCTTCCTGTGCCACTTTGGTTGAATGGGGAGAAGACTGTTTTGGCCATATATGCATCAAGAGTCAAGGGGTCAAAAAGTGGGAACATGGGTTGTAAAAATTGCCATATTTTGGTATATTTGATTTGTAATTAGCTTAACGCTACTTGCTCTTGAATACTTTATGAAAATTGTGCTTGATAAGAAAAATACAATTAAAATATAGCAATTTTTACAACCTATGGTGCCACTTTTGACCCTTTGACCATGCGCTTAGAGCAGTAGCATGAAACTCTTCATGCATATATTTTCCTCCCTAATTATTATTCAAAAACATTTTTTACCTCCTTTCCAGTCCCTATGCATCACTGTGCAACTGCTGAACATACAACATAACATGCAGCCTTTAAGAGAAATTGTTCATTGACTTATATTTAATGCAGCAGCCCAAAGTTACAGTTGAGCTAAACCCATTATTAACTGTGCCAAATTGCTGGATTACAAACTAGCTTGAATATTTTGAAGTCTGAACAATCCCCTTTACAGTCCTCTGCATTATCTTGAAAGGTAAATTACCTGCGCTTCAAAGTGAGGATGGCAGATACCTTGAAATGGACACTAAAATGGACCATGTGAACAACACTTAAGATAAAAAAAGACTTTAGCCAATCAGGAGAGGGCAAAATCAGTATTGACCTCAGCCATAACAAACGTTGAAAACGGTTGTTTTTCTCAGAAATCTAGGCTTCATTGCTCGATCCTGATTAGTTCAAATTTTACATAAGTTTGTGAAAGGGACTATTAGTCTACTTTCTATTTCACAGTTATTACATAAGACCACTCTATATCATACTCTTAGAGCCATGATAGCCTTAATACCATGGAATGAAAGATGACAGATTGAGTGTTTAATGTAGCTTTTAACTGTCTTTATAACCCATCCCTTCCGACCCCGGGGGGTACTCTTGCCCCTTTAGGGTAGGAATGTGCCGCTGAGCCCACTGAACCCTGACCCTGTTCCAGAGTAAAATTGCTGATATTCATACCCTGTTCCAGAGCAAGATCGCTGAAAATCATAACCTGTTCCGGTATTGCAAAAATGGATACCCTGTTCTAGAGAGGAGAGAGCGTGATTTCATATACCCTGTCCCAGAGCGAGTAAGATTTTATGTACCCTGTTCCAGAGTAGAGTCGCTGAAAACCATACCCTGTTTGGCGGCACATACCCGTATAGTAAATAGAGGCGAGTACCCCCCCCCCCCGGGATTCCGACCCCCCTAGACCATTTGCACTGAAAAGATCATAGAATGCTATGATATAATTCAATGTTCTATTGCTGTGAAGTCCCCAAGATGCACAAACAGTCTTGTACAATTGCCTCCCTTTCATTGGCACCTCCAGCACCCTCTTTCCATGTCTCGGCAATGCACAATTTGTCAGTTTGATTTAAAGGGCAGAATGACAAGTTTAACTCCATTAAATTGTCCGTAGAATTGTTTCGCAATAGTCCTAATATATCGTCTGATATTGGTGAATTAATGTTACAGGCTGATAGATTGATGTATTGCACTCTAGATGAGGTTGTCCTATGGGCATCCAGGAATAACTCGAGAAAACCACTATCAATGCCAGGGTTGCCACTGAAGCTGAGATTGACAAGGGTCTGGCTATGGCTTACCAGCCTGTGAAGCAAATAGAAAATCCTGTCATTAGGAAACTGAAGATTGGTCAGTAGTTAGGATAACAAAGGCTACATGTGCCTTGCTGAGACCATCATGATTGTGATTCATTAGAGAACCTTTGTAAAGTTAAACATGTACTAGATTGGTTATGTATGTGTGGGAATATATGTTATTGACTTACAGTACGTACACAGTACGACATGCCTTAACATTGAAATGGCTTCCTATAAGAATGGTTATCGTATGAGTGGGAAACATACGGTACTGACTTACAGCATGTACAGCAGTACGATAGCTATAACATTGAAATGGCTTCCTATAAGAATGGTTATCGTATGAGTGAGAAACATGTTACTGACTTACAGCACGTACACGGTACGACATGCCTTAACATTGAAATGGCTTCTCATAAGAATGGTTATCATATGAGTGGGAAACATATGGTACTGACTTACGACACTTTATGGTACAACATACTGTAACATTGATTTACGCAACACAAATCAATGCATCAACAACAATTCATCCAAACACATGTATAGTTACGGCTATGGTACGATACAGCTACAGTACGACTACTAATTTGCTTTATCATTTCCAACTCATACAAAAAACTGCTCTTTTGTGTACATCCTTTAGGTTGAAGCTATGATGATATCTGTAGCTATATAACTAGAAAGCCCTCTTAATGTTCAGCACTCTAATTAGATGACATACCAGGAGAATGGAAAGCCACATTAGTGCTAAATTGGGATTCCACTTCAATGTTAAAACAACTGCAGGTGTCAAACATTAAAACACCTCATTTCAAGATTCCACGAAGTGCATGACACATGGAAGCCATTTCAATGCTCTATCTTAGAAATCCATATCAGTGCCATGACACATGCAAGCCATTTCAATGCTCTACCTTAGGAATCCATATCAGTGCTATGACACATGGAAGCCATTTCAAAGCTCTATCGATGATGATGATGATAATGATGATGATGGTGATGATGATAATTATGATGATGGTGGTGGTGATGATAATTATGATGATG